AGTTTGCGATCCGACCGTGAAGTATGGTGGACACAGAAAGCAAAAGAAATGGAAGAGGCCCAGAAAGCCGGTAATGCCCGGAGATTATTTCAGTTGATCCGTGCGACCGGACCCCGGAAACCACCTGTGAGTGAAAGCATCAAGCATCGGAATGGAAAGACCATCTCGAATAAGGAGGAACGCTTTGACCGGTGGGCTGAATACTTTGAACAACAAATGTCTTGGTCACCAGCCGGCACTCATCTGCAGCCCACAGGTGAAGCAGAACCCTGGACGGTGAACGTGGAACCACCACCGGTCTCGGAGGTTTACGACTGCATATGTTCTCTCAAGAGCCATGTTTCCATCACACAAATCAGACTTGGTTGTGCGATGCACTAGTGGCGCATATGTTCTCTCAAGAGCCATGTTTCCATCACACAAATCAGACTTGGTTGTGCGATGGCACTAGTGGCTCGGAGATTATTGACTTTTGGCAGTAACGAGCGGGCATTAAACAGCATTACTGACAGGCTCATTGACGAGCAAATGGTACTGAATGGGAAGTTACTAACCTTGCTCATGGTGAAGTTGGGTGCTTGGGGGAATCGGTAAGTGGAGGTGGGGTAACATGAAACAGGGTTTACCGGGCGTGTGTTCGGAGTCGGTGGAGGAGTATTCCGCACTGTTGTTAGGTTAGATGGTGAAATAGGTTTGAAATCCCGGTTGAAGTTAAATAATCACGCTCAGTATGGGTTGTGCAACGTCTTTGGTGGGGGGGGGGGTTGCAGTTGGATAGGGAGTTGTCGGCCGTGCCATCTTTCGCATCGTCAGAAGATGTGGACGGGAGGTATGGTACAGAAAGGTGGTGGCCGTGAATAGGTGGGTGGCAGCCGAAAATGGTGTTCAGGTAGGAGAAAAGTGGGTCGGCAGGGTGATGTAAGCAGATGAGCGTCAGAGCTAGCCACCGGTAGATATAGACACGAGGTTTTTCAAAGCACTTAATACGTGTAGTTTGATCTGCCTTTTGTCGGTCGTACAGGTGGAGTTGCACGCGACTTCCGAGGAGACGGTGGTGGAGTAGCTAACTGCGGAATAGGGATCTAAGGCAAATAGTATGCTGGTAGCCAAGGGGGACTTGATAGGGACTGAGGTTAAGTAACGGTGTTTGCAGGTTGGGGCTCCTGCCAAGGACTAGGCTTGCATGGTTTGGGGGGGGGCAGCAGGTGTATTTATATGCCATTCCTGGTATGGTGAGGTTTGTAGACGAAGGGCGAAGAGTGGGAACTCATGGGGTTATTGTGAGAGAGAGCGTCATGATATCAGGTTTTGACGCCAGGTATTTGAGCTCGAGGAAGGGCTTTGGTGTGGAAAGACGGAGTGTCAGTAGGTCAGGGGGTCTGGAGCAGGATATTGTGTTGTCACCTTCGATTGCAACGCCGGGTAGGAGCTGATGGCGTACCGCACCTGTCACATCAACGGTGAATTTAGTAGGCACGACTGAGATCGGAGGTTACATAGGTGGGTGCCCGAAGTTAGAAGTGTAGGGCTCAAAGGATTCACTTCTCGATAGAAACGCGAAAATAACTAGAAAAACATCGAGTGGCCTAATGAAGTCGTCGGTGTACACCACAAAGAAAGATGACCGGCACGGCCGGGTTACAAGCCCTACCCGAGTGAAAGAATACATGTCTACTTCATGTGTTACGTCCAATGCAATTCACAATAAAGCAATCATCTGCTAGCACAGATTGACCGTATACAGACATTTGATTGACGCTACCTCGATGTCAGTTAGGCTATCACTCGATGGCGTTTTTCTCAGAAGCCCGTAGATTTGGAATTGGGCAGATGTCCCAATTCATCACTGCCTCTGCTGGCGATCTGCTTTGTGTCTTGGTGTGGTGTCGCCCCTTAGCCCAGTAGAAGAATCTGGATGATTTCCGGCGTTTCAGTGAGCTTCAGTGGAACTCTTGGAAGTGTCCACCAATCGTTCCAACTGGCCTCCTGATTGTAAGTGGAATAATTTTGTCCAAATTTGCCGGATACTGTTCTACAGAGACTGGAGATTCTGTGGAATTGAATGTACAATGGTTGTCGTGGACCAGTATGTCCGGGATGGCCATTGGAATCAATGAACACGTGTGAATGAGTTCCTCCAGGTGGTTGTTAGTACTAATCCATCAAATAAGGGTGCTGGGCAAGGATTTCATGCGAGTAATTCCAGGATGCCCAAAGTGAAGTTTCTGAAGGACTCTGTTTCGTAGTTCTTAGGGTACAAATAGGTTCGACCAAAAGCATACATGAATTCAACCTCCAAAGTGAAGATAGACATTGAAATAAAAATTTAAACCGACTGTCCTGACAAGTCGGTAGGTAGCGCTTCCGTCGGTAGAAATGGCTTACTTTCTGGAACAAGCGATTACGCATTGTAGCCTCATAAACTATGTTGGAAGTGACTGACAGTGTAAACTTCTGGCCCCATTGTTACAGATGCGACTACTATATTCAGGTTTTCAGGTTTTGATGACGCGCCAGCTCGATTTATGACATCAGTTGGTTGGCACTTGATAGAGGAAAATTGAGTCATTCAGTTGTGACGCTCTTTCGGTATCTAGCTATCATGCCCACCAAAAGAAGCATGAGAGTTCAGATACTGCCGGGTTGCCCGGGCCTAGACAGGGGCAGTTGAAATACCGGGGTTGATTTCAAACCAGGACCTTTCGGTCAGTAAGTTCGTGCCTTGACCTCTGAGATATCTCGAGCTCTTTGATAGAGGAATCATAATCCCAAGACATGGTCACCACTAGAGTTGTACAAATCGAAGGCCCTGGATCTTTTACTCAGCAGAACCGTATGGAAGCTATTACGACAAGTCGGAGTACTTTCTGTGCGACCAGTCTTCCAAGATGTAGTCAATCTGAACCCGCTGTATATAGTCAGATGCGCTGCATCATGCGGCTGCTAGGCAGTATAACGGGTCCTGGTTGTCAGTCCCTGTCCAGATTGTTTCAGTATGTGCCTGGAGGTTTAGCTCCTTTGGAGTGCGTGTAGTAAGTTCGCACCAAACACCCTTTCCCTCTCCCCTATTAATCTTTTTACAACAGGAGTTTTAGATAACTTATGATTGTAAGGCAGCGAAGGTCGGGGTTTGACGCTGATGTTGCGCTGTCGATGACGATAGTGATAATGATATTTAGTGGTGTAAAACCTTGCTAGTGGCTGCTTCTCCTCGGGATCTGGGCCTCTGCAATATCTCATCCTCTCTGTTTTTGGTCAAAAGACCGCATTTACCAACAATATATTGCTGTTCACCCGGATGGTTGTGTGTTAAGAACGGTGCCTACTGCCCGCAATCATACAAATTAAATGAATGACTATGGATGTGCGAACAATAGCACCATTTTATAACGGAGACGGTAACTGCGAAATTGCGAAGCCTCTCTCTTTAACTATTACCCGTTTTCATCCATGTTTCAGACGTACTCAAGCAAGTCATGGAAGCCCATTTGTTGCCGTGTAAAATCAGTTCCGACGGAATGCATGTCGACGTCCAGGCAGGTTTTGTTCGAGAGTAAGGGGTCTTTTCATCCACTTAACCTACTTTCCTGTTTTCAGAGAGACCGGTTCGATCTCATTTTCCGGCCACTCTGTTGAGAAAGCAAACTTCCGCGGACGACCTATTTTTGGTACCAAACTGCCCATTCCTCCTCCATATGAAGCGGTTTTAGCACATCCGACTGACAGCTTAGGAGATAAAGAACCCGCTCGTCTGTCTGTTAAATCTAAAATCAGTAGTATAACGCTGTGGAATCTATCTGATGAACCTAAGGCATCTGACAAAATTCCCTTAGCCATGTTATGGTTGAAACTGGCCCCATTGGTTCACTCAAATGCCAGTTATTCAAACTGATTTTCTAGACCCTGAGATACTTGTACCATAATTGATGTTATTCAGACGTGTCTTCGGACGAGATGGCGTATTTTTTGTCAACCTTTTTTTCTTACCTTTTCGACGTGACCGGTGTATTAGGGACCGCTTTTCGGATCATATTATTCAGCTTGGCGAATAATGCCTCTTTCTCAAAAAATGCTTTTGGTCCTCGGTATTATCATGTCATCATGTTGACCCTAATTTTTCGATCTTGCGAAAAAAAACTCAACAGATCTGTACGTATTTGCTACTCTTGCCAAAGTATTGGGTCTTCTGCTCCATGGAACAACAGGTCGGGGTACCAACCACTTTAACACTAATGGTACTGGTACGGGATAAGATCAGGTAGCTGAACACTAGTCTCCCCGGCTCTTGCAGTGCTGTTTTGTGCGTGGCCTTGGAACGATTTGATGGCACCCAATAAATCACAGGGGCGAGATGGCTCAGTGGTTAGAGCGCGAATATACTGAGCGGAAGGTCTGTGTTTCAAACCCGACCTCGACTTCCTCTGTTCGGGCTTGGGCAACCTAGCAGCATCCCAGCTCTCGTGCTTCTTTTGGGTAGCATGGCAGCTAAGCACTGAACGGTGAAGAATTAACAAATCACGGTGAGTGATTTCGCTGGGCTTTTACTCCTACGTATGATCGGTCAGTTGAGGAATTGGGAGTTAATCCTCTTCCGTTTGGGAGGGAGGTTGATTCCTCGAGACTGGATTGCAATGCTAAAAAGCCTAAAGCGTCGCTTCGATTGGTTGTCGGGGTTTTCACGAAAGCGCAGTTACCCTGTCATAAGTATATATTGACCTGGCTACTCAACATTTATCAGTAACACAGACCTCTCTATTGCTAGGTTTTTTCCACCTCACTGTTACGCATTACCTGAGGGTAACTGCTATTTTACTCGATCTTATGACACTTTACCGGGTACAAATGTTGCTCGATTCACTGATTGGTGACGTTGATCCGTCTTGGATTATGTGACCAAGATTCAGTACGGTTCCACTTGGTCTAACCATTGTGTCCTAACCTAGACCAAATGCCGCTGTGATGACTAGGCAATGTATATTTTTAGCAAGACTAGACCTCTGCACCTTTATCGAATAGGATAACAGTTTTCCACTCTTTAAAGGGTAGTTTGGATGAACTTGAAGGGACCCATCGGGAATTATCCTGATGAACGAAAGTCTGTCGGTAAATTCTTTCGCCATAAAACAACCAATTCTAATGCCCGCAGTAGATGCCTTCTTTGGTCACCATATCTGGATAAACGGAACTTTAGTGAATATATGCATAGCGTATGTGATGTTTCATATTATTTTTACTCAATACGCTGCTGCATGCAGTTTACCGAATCGCGCTGTACTCGTTATGGAGAGTCCACGGAGTTTTTGTTGAGATTGCGACCTACCATTCAACCAGCGGAAGGGGGGTCGTGCTAATCGTGCTGAAAGCCATGGCTAACTCACTGCACGTAACGACCATCGACTGTACTGGCAGAAAACATCGCGCACGAAGGATGAAAACTCGAGGGAGTATAAATTTTCTCCGATCTAACTATCACCATCAGAAAGGTAGCACTCATTATACGGGGGTCTTGACGGGATCGATCACAAGATGGCTCAAGCGGTTAGAGCGCGAATTTACTCGCCGGAAGTTCCGTGGTTCGAACTTCACCTCCGCCACTCGACTTGTCCTGTCTAGGCTTGGGAAACCTGGCAATATCACAGCCCTCGAGCCTCCTTCTGATCGCGTGGCAACTGGGCACCGGAAGGGTGCTACAACTGAACGGTTATATATTATATTTTTTTAATATCTGACGATCCCTAGTAGTACTATCTAGCATGTCTTTGGAGAGAAGTCGACACGCGGAACGGAAATTTCCACAAAAGTGATATCGCGTTTGAACAAACTTGTCTACAAAGTGTTGGTTCCTCTGGTCGATTGATTACGATCCCCACACAAAGCATCTAATGAACGAGGCAGCCAGCTCTGACTGATGGCGGCTCCAAGATACATTACAACACAGGCGGGAAAGTAACCCCATGGACGAAATTATTCATGTGCAGGTCTATGCCGAGTGAGATTTTATCCTTTAGATCAACGGTGAGTGACTGGTAACCGAGTTGTCACGTCCACTTTCTCCCCATGAATAACTAAGTATTAGACTTTCGGGAAACGGCCACATTTTGAGGTCCACCAGTGCCCTCCACTCTCGGTCAGGGAGGCGGTTTTTTTTAAATCACCATCGTATATTGAAGCGCATCTGATGTTCTAGTAATGTGTTGACCGTGATCGATTATAACGTATCTTCTGCCACGCCGTAGAAGCCCACTAAGGGTGGTCCTCCTATCGAACCAAGTTTTTATTTTGGGAAAGCTTGAAAACCACCAATCATCAATATTAGGCAAAGTAAAACAAAACAACCATACTGCCCTACTCATTTATTGCAGACCCACAAGTCACCCATGGACAGTTTTCTCTCCATTTCTGGACTTGACTTTTCGATAAATCAGACAGACCATATGGTGATTTGTCTCACTGCACGCATTTTCTCTACTGGAACCGGTTGCTCACTAAGTGCCATAAATGTCCCTTCAGGTGTGAACGGGATTTGTTTCAAACAAGGTGGGATACCGGTATCCATTTGTTTATCCATCACTAGTAAGAGACTGGCGCACGCCAAAGAATTCATAACCGGCTGACCGATCCACAATCCAACCGATTCCCATGTCGACCCAGTTGACATTGATCGGGGTAGTGAAAGTCCTTGACCAAACTGCAAGAAGTTATAGTTGCGAAGCGTTTTCACAGACCAAGGAGTGGCATATTTCAACCTTGAGATGGAGAACCACGAATCGGCTGGTGACCCACGCGTGTCAAACACCAACTGGGCCACAACTTTCCCAAGGTCGTCGGAGAATTGTACCAGGGTGCTCTTAAATCCTGTGAGGACGGTGCTTCTCGAATGCCAGACCATCGTCTGTGCCGGCCTGTGCCAGTTTTCGATCGCACGACTTCGATACCAACACCGACATGCAGGTACCACAGGCTCCTTGTCCAAGTGCCTTTCAGGAGTATATTTGTATGGATGGTAGCCTGGTGGACTGCTTATTGTTTGTCGCCAAAGACGACCAAAAGCGATACCGGTCATTGTGTCCAAGGCAAAGAGTAACGTGTTTGTTCGAGCGAAGAATGGGTCATTCGCAGTGGCAGGAACTAGGCTATAAGGGGCGGCGTAGATCCGCAGTTCGTCCGCTCTCGTGACACCGTTCTTGTCGGAGAACCGTGGGGGTGACACAGACCCTTTTGTCCCACTCTTCACTCCTTCACCCCACAATGCCGCGGGTAAGGTGTAAATAAAACTTGGGAATTGACTTGCCTTCGCATGGCTCTTGTTTTGCGCACTTTTTGTATCCCCGTCGTTGTCCGAATGCAGCCATGGACAGGCGGAAGTGGATGATTCGGAGTCGACAATTAGCAAGTAGCCACTCAGTTGTGGACACGTCAGACTCGCTTGTGTTTCGGCTGTGCTGGGAGCGTGTAGAATTGAAAATGGCTCGGTCCTGTGATAATAGAAATACGGGATGTGCGGAGCAGATGAAACCGCATGCATTAAATAGCGTCAAAATATTTAGGTTGTAGTGTGCGTTATTCTAAGGAATAGATAGAAGTGAATGCTATCCTATCAAGAGGACACGGGTTGTACGTGGCGACACGTATCACTAGGTCCGATCATTAAATGGTCTCATCGTTTAACTTTTGTCTGGTTTTTAGGTTTTACTGTTTTTGATGCGTGAAAGTTCTTTCGAAAATTTACCAAAAAAAAGGCTTAGGATATCCTGTTCAGAGGCTCGTTGACTTTTATGAGAGCTGTTAGGTAGCGTTGTTGCCTGTTTGGAAATGGAATCGTTCGTCGTGTGCAGCTGTCCTAATCTGGAGGCTGATGTTGAGGAACTGGCTTTTAGAACAACCTTCGCTTCATTTTTAAGTCTAGTAGAACAGATTTTATTTTTGGACTTGGCAATCGATTATTCAAAATAGGTTTTGAGAGCCCACATTGTTGGATTCGAATTTGGCACCGATGCGTAAAGTGGGTGCTGTAGGACCTTCGCGCCTTCCTGACTAGGGTCCCACGTGATCCTGCTTGTACGTGTAGGACGTGACAGATCTCAATGGCGCGCCATTTTCCGACCGTCTGTCATTTTGCTCTGGGCCTATGTCGGGCGGATTTCGCAAAGACGCTGGGTCAATCCCACTGATGGGGCCATACTTCGACAGGTGTTTATCACAATGCCGTCGAATGGGCGAAACACCTTATTCTCAATCCTCTTCCTTAAGGATATGAGGCTTCATCGCACTAAGTCCTTATCTCCTACCCTTCCCTTTTCCTTCCCACTCTATGAGGACATTCTTTGCTTCTGGTTGTATGGCCTTTTAGGTACCGGTACGTATTACCGGTAAATTGCTGTCGATGATGTCAACACGCAGCTATTCGATCATGTACAACTGTTCCGTGGAGTGAAGTTCGTGACTGGCAACTTCCCAGGCCTGCTTGCCGACAATTAGATGGGCCCGTCAATGGTTGGTAGGACGGCTAGGCTTTTCCATCTGTTTGAACAGGTCTGAGTGATGCACTAAAGCTGTTATTTCAAGAGAAAACCTCTTCAAAACATTGAAGGTTATCCGTCCCGAGATTTTCTACAACACAGAAATAGCACCCTTGATTCCCTGTTCATCATGATGCCTCTACCCTCCTGAATATCACAACAAACAGGCAAGTGATGTCAGAAAGATCTGATGGACGAGAACCGGCGGGGTTAAAGTGATCTCACCTGTTCAAGATCGGCTTAAAGTGGCATCAGGCTACAAAACCCGGGTCTTTTTTCGCACCCTGTCAGCCTTTTTCATCCGCGAGTCTCACACCATGGCTACTGCTGCCTAAACTATCTATTGGAGCTACTGTGCGTTGTGTGGGGTGTGATTTTAGTAAATTCGACGTAGCCGAGCTTCCCTTATCGCTTCTTCCCATGATTTATCTTGTGGTGGCGATTGCTTTCAGTGTTTATGAAAGGTCTCTGGAGTAAAACTAACTTTCATCCAGCTCTTGGCCCTAAGTGTTAAAGCTGGTGAACTAGGAACGACAATGAACGTTTCAGTGTGATCTCCTGGCCAACTTAGGATGTAAGGAAGTGATAACATTATAAACTGCTTCGAAAGTTATCGTCAGTTGCACCATGACCGGATGGCACACTGGTTACAGCAGCCACATAAGTCTCATAATGTTTTTCTACTTTTATTCACGCTCATCCGATTTATTCCAGTGAAATAAACTGGAATTTCGGTACTTCATCAATTCCTGACAGAACTGCCGCTGCGTCGCTCATGCTTTTGAGTCAGGATTTCCAAATTGGCTGTGAACAAAAGCAAAACACAGTTGTTTGGGGGCCAAAAGTAACGTACGCAGTTCCTTGAACTAGTTAGGAAATTATCACAAACTGCTTATCAAGTGGGCGTTGTAAAGCACTAATCGTGACATTTGAGTGACACCACTTATGGGGTCGATAAACAATGAGCACCCCACTACCGACTTTCACCCTTCTTGGGGCTCATCAAGTAGGCCTAGCCTCTGAATTTCAACCTACATTTTATCCCATCTGAACACCGAATCGTACATCTATGGCAATATGCATGGACTTGCGGAATACGTTGGTATCAGATGGGGACTCGATTAAAATTTGTCTGATAGTAGCCCCCTCCCAGCCAATAGTTATCAGTAGATTTCGTATAAGGTGACTTATCTTACCACAATCTCGGGGTAGGTTTCAATCACAATTTGCTGAAAGGGTTTTGCGCAGCAAAAAGGCCTTGGGATAAAACCCGTGAAGATTTCTGAGATGCGCATTACTGATCTTTATAAACAGTGATTTTCATCTGTTCATCACAACTTGACCTCAGGGGCCTGTATTGACGCTCTATATACCTTTCTTCATTTTTAAGTCTATGAATAATTTCAGAAGAGCACTACTCGGGAGGAGATAGTAGTAAGTCTTTTCGGCTTAGCGATGAGTGATCCCGCAAGCACCACAGGGTTGCGCAGTACGGTGTTGGAGACAGTACCCTATTTGAGTATCTTTCTCTTGACCGCCCATTAACCAAAAAGTTATGGTTCACACGGTAGACGACACTTTCATTGAATATAATGTGTATTGCCTTATAGTCTACACAAACTTAGTTGAAGTAAATTCAGATGATTCTTGGAGGACGAATGTATTCACATTTGGTAAAGGGAATACCCTGCAAATGAGCAGGCAAGTGAGGACAGTTGTAGCGGACTGCCGGACAATATCGTCTATGAAAGGATGTGTTCAAAGTCGTTAGTTTCTCCACTTACTTGCAGGTTACGGTTGGGCGTACGAAAACTGGAGACACGGTATGAACAAAGCTGAATGACAGATTCGTCATTTTCACATATGTGTTTGGTAAACGTCCGGTTAGGAAACTACAATACGCGATGTTCACTGAGATAATCAACGTTATGTATGGGCTGGGCAAAATACGGTTAAACTCGGCATAAGAATTGTGAAAACTGTTCCGGAGCCCACTACTGGTTTCGGTCTCCTTCACTCTCATCAGCTAGGTGTTATCCAAGTGTTTCCATCAATATCACAAACGAGAGATCCAGATTGGTTTCCGGTAAAATTAGCTTATTTTGCAAATGCCTGTATAACTCATTTGGAGGATACGTTAGTCCAATTGACGCAAGTTTGCCCAATGAACTTCGAGTGTTAACTGTAGGTGTTTCTATCAGATTTCCGGTCAAGTCGAACCATGCACATCAAGCGGCCTTCATTGATATATGGGAAGAATCACCTGAAGATTTTCCCACCTTGATTGGAAGACGAAAAGGTGGGAGGCGATCTTTTTAAAATCACATGCATGCAAAACTGATAGTCCTGGAATCCAGACCTACCTGCTTCTTAGAAATACGGTCTCTTGAATTAACTCATTTTCGTACCATGGAAAGGACTCAATTAGCAGGGCTTTCTGAAACCAGGTATATCGGTCGGCGTATTCTGCGTTGAATGTGAGTCGTACCACTGGTTGGTTAGCGTGCCACAGCTCTAACATTACGCGTCGATATCTTCCTACCGTCCACTGATCAAATTCAACATGTTTGAACCACTGTGCATCCATTTGGTTTGTAACAATCGGTGCGGTGTATAAGTTGACTAAACTATGCCCCGAACTGGCGCGCACTGAAAACATGAGGATCGCGCCATCGTGCATGGCAACATCCTGCCAGGTTGAGGCCGTCGCTACGTTCGTCGCAGCCGGTGATACTGGTGTGGGCGAAATTGGTACGCTATTGGAAAACTGGTTGACGCTGGACGACCGTTCCGCTTTCCCCGTAACCGCTTCTAAGAACGCCTCAATGAAGGCCGCAGAAAAGTGATTATCGATTCCTTGCGCATTTACTGGTGGATGTTGCAGCTAAAAAAGAACGTCAATGTGAACCATTACCACTCATCCTCTTGGTGAGGAAGAGCTCATTGGGCAAAAGTGGCAGGCTAACAATACACTTTTCTAAGAATAGCGGCGTAGTGAGTTTAGCCACTGTGTATGGAACAGAACACACTGGAGAATACTAAATGACCCTTTGTGGAGGAAGTTCTTGTTTTGCCAGGAAATAGTGTTGCTGATTCAGGAGCTGTCAATAGAACAAGATACTGGGAAGAGGTAACTGTTTATAGAACACGTAGGGGCTGTTCGAGTAATGCTGTGGCAAGATACTAAGATACGTCCACACAGTCAAAGTTCGGTGCCCATGAATGTGCTATACCATCCGCGAGCTGGGAGTGCTAACATGAAGACTTGCCATACAGTATCAAAACATTGGTCGTACTTCGATCAAATATGAACAGTGTGTGGGAGAGACCGTTGCTACGTCGCACATTTCCCTGGCCTTGAGGACCAGGTGAAAGGAAGAAGGCCTTCGCTGCGGAGTTATTTGTTAGAAAATGCCAGCTGACCGGTTACAGACCACTGGACAGGGAAGCAAAACTCTAATTTGCATCTTATTTACAATAACTGGACATCCATCTTCTCCTGAACGCGTCTTCTTGAACTTTCCCGGATATTCATTGACTCCAATCATTCCTTGCTCAAATCCAAGCAAGTGTTACAAAGCGACTCCACAAATTCCAACAGATCTCCCCTTTTCAAAAGACGCAAAGCGAAATTCCGCGAACAACACATACTGCTCGCGTGCCTCCCATCAGTAGTATCACAGTTACACAGGTACTATGTGAATGGAAGGTGGATGACAGTATCATATCAGCGCGAGTTGGCCACATCGTTGGTCAGCTGCTTGTGGCAGATTTGTATGGTCTTCAACTACTAGCCTAGTGGTCACATCTCTCAAGAAATTCGCGAGCTACACGTTGCACATTATTCCCAACAAGGATGAAACAACTTTACGGTTGTTTTCGACTTTATGGCTTAGAGTGACCCCAATTTCAGCGCGAAGTTTCGACTGAAACTGGTAAAAAGTTATTTTTCCCATTAACAGAGATTTTAACTTCCGCCAGTATATTGAAAGTTGTAAAGCTGGGATATAAAAAAGTGAATTCTTTAAGTTAGTGCGTATGGCACAAAGAAGCAGATTATCGATCTAGGGATGAAAGCCTAAAGGGAAAACAAAAATTAGTCACTCAAGGATTAGTGTGGGAACGATGGGAAGACTCGTTTCAAAACAGCACAATCGGTTGGGAAACTGGTGCGTGCAGTTACAGCAAGACTAACAAGCATGAAATCTAACAACACAAATCAGTAGCGCTTGACAGGAAGACATCAAGCCTGAATGCGATCAGCGTGGGTCAGAGGTCACATCGGAAGAAAATGGAGGCGCACAAACATAGGTCGAATCGATGGTACAGTCATTAGGCAAGGTAGCCTCCAGTAGGCTGGTTCAATTCGTTGCCATTTTCGTGCTCAGTCTCAGGACTTCGAGGACCAACATTTGAACTTTTGAGTTTCACCTGTTCCAGCAGACCACCTTTGGTATGTTTCAGTATCACATTCATTATTACCCTGTTAGCTCGTTTACCGTGAAATATCTGAGTTTTCTATGAATCTCATTCAAAGCAGCTTTTAATAAATCTATGTTCAATTTTGAATGAAGAGAACTCTTCAAACATGCTGCATGCTGGAAGGATGAGAAACGCCAGTAAGATCAGTTCAATATAAGCCTTGTGGTAATGTCCCACATGGTCTTGATTTGTGTGCAGCCAACAGCCGAAGACCAGGGAGCGAAGCAATACTCCTGCGAATTAAGTAGTACGGATATGTAATTTTCCCGACTTGCAGAAGAGCGGGAAACGTTAGATGACAGGAAACTACCGTTCTTTTATAGTTTGGCTGAACGTAAAAAATGTTTGTTGGCACATCAAGCAGAATGTCATCTGCTGGATAGTGGTGAAGATGGCAGAGAAAAAAGGAGACTATCTAGTTGAGACGGTTATCCCGGTTTATTCTCTAGGAAGAACCTCGGAGTACCGGCGTCATTGATCTTGAGAACGGAAAGGTTGCTGGGAAAGCCATGAAATTGTCTCCCCTAAATTAGGGACAATATCACACTCTGAACGGACAAGAAAGTTGATGGCTGGGAACGTTCGTGAGATCAACCTGGGAGAACCATGAAACCCAGTCTGCAGGACCTATGACTGAGTACTATATTGCGTTAAAGGTCGAGTATTTTCATGAAAGTAGAATCCACAGACGATGAGGAGACAGAATCATTTATCACTGGCCACTCAGTGTTATCTTAGCAGCCAAGCAGACCACTAGAACCGGGTAGACTGTAATCACAGTAAAAGTGGAAATATGGTGTTTTTTCTGCTTAGGTGATTATTCATCCCATTAATAGTAGCAGACCTTGCCATCTGACAAACCTTCTAGTGTAATCACTTGGTCCGATCAAGTTTCTATAAGAAACACAACAAATTCAACTGCTGTCCTTCAAAATGAGTTCCTAGCGGATTCAATTACTTGAAGCCAGGAGTTGATTCGTTCTGGCTTAATTGATGCCTGACTGTCGTTGCCACTCAAATCATTGTGTGCTTGTGATTGGTTTTGTCTCGTCTAGTGGAGTCTTTTGCACCGATTATGTTAGGCCGATTCTTGCTGGCGTCTGTGTGATTTGTGAATCAGTGGGAGGATTGTCCATCATTGATGGTTTGATCTGCCCAACAGCCGTAATAGGAAAGGAATGAACACAACGCACCACGGACAAAACCAGTCAGTTCGGCGGTTGAGAGAATTCATCCGGTGTTGGACTGCGATACAGGCTGTTGCAGGCCGACATTTGTTCGTGAATAACTACACTACTGGTCTTGGCCCGTTTAACTTTAGTAGCCTTGTATGATAAGCGCTAAAGGTTTGAATGTTGGAAATTGTACAAATGTCTCATTATACACACTGGGGTGGACTAGACATTTGTGCGTAACTTTGGAGCGACATACGGTTTTCAACAAGAATCTGGATAGATTAACTTTAAGTGGTCACTATCAAGAGATGGTCTCTTAACAGGAATGCACAGTGGTCCTAATGCACAAATCCGACTTGGCTTGAGCAGGGTAGACGGTAGAAAGGTTTTTATCGCAGAATGAATATCACCCTTGGCAGCAAAGAGTCAAGAAGTGAGTAGATCTCACTGTTACCTAACTACAGCAATACATCTTAGTGATCAAGTTTGGTCGGAAGTGAACCAAGAACAGATTTACAGTGACTCACTGTGGTGGTGGGTAAGGGCGTCGTTGTCTCGGTGGTTGAAGTCTCAGCCTGACGAGCAAACCAGCGTCCGTTGAATCCTGTATCCATTTTCTGGGTATTATATGACACGCCGGACAGAGGCTTTGAGTCATTGTTCGACGAGTTTCCAGTATGTGTCCCACTATTCACTAAATTATTGATCTGAACCAATTGCGGCTTCTTATGCAGTTGGTTTTCGTTCACGCCAGCAAAATATGGTAATTGGATACCGTGCTGTTGAGCACGAAGCAGATTGATAAGATGTGTCAGGCTTGCAATCTCCTGCTTGGGAAGTGAGCTGTCTGCGTTGGCTTCAATCGATTCTTTTTGGTCTTGTTTTGTGATCATATTCCACGGGGCCCAATTTAGGTAGTGCCCATGAGGGTGTGGATGGTGATACTTGGGTGGCGGACGTTTTAAAATCACGAGAGGTGGGTAATATGAAGGTGCTTTTGTTGTAGTGGTTGTAGTCGTGGAGGTGCTGGCGGTGGTTGATGTCTGCGCATTGACCTGCTGAACGCAGACCAGGTTGTTTGCAACATTCTGCGGACGAGCACTTAGTAATCGGGTCAATAGCAAGCGCAGTCTGTTACGTATCATCATGCGCTCTTCTGCCCATATGGAATAGAGATGTTGGTAGTAAAGCTGTGTGTAAGGATTGTCCCATGACTTATGAACTGCTC